ATTTGATAGTTGTCAGTGAGGTTCCTGAAGATAAAGTTCTTTCTTCCAAACAACCACTGCTCCTCCTTTGTCAGCTTGTTTAATAACAATGTTGTCACAGGAATGACGACTATGTAAAGGTGTTTCTTCATTTTTGGTGAGGTTTCTAACAGATGTGAAATCCAAGTTGTAAGTTTCCTTTTGACATTTCTCTACGTAATAATCAAGAGGAAGAAATTTACCAGGTGGGGGAGTCCACATATTGGTTTGTTTCTGTAGCTGAGAAAAAACTGACTTACTGTTGTTGGTAGGTGGTGTAAGTGATTCCTGTCTTAAGTGATCAGTAGTTGAAGTGTAGAAATGCGCTTAAAGACATAAACGGCAAAAAAATGTTTGACTTGGTATTTTGTATTGAACTCATTTATATGTTTCTTAATGGGGACAAAATTCAGGCTTTTCTTTAGAAAAGTGATCTCACTTTCTGTTAGGTGTAGATCCTGGAGTATTTTGACAACAGAAGTAGGTGGTGTGTTCACTGTTAGATCATCATGGCTAATGTATGGCGATTTTCTTACATTTTGAGGAAGATAAAAATCTCTCATCCTATACACAGAATTAAGAATTGCAAGTTTCTTGCATTTTAAGTTCCTCAATGAGATATAATACAGAGAGTTCAATTCATGAACTTTATTATGAATGTTATGTGCAATAGCTTGATCAATAGATCTGTACAATATATAAATATATATGTGTGTGTGCACAAACAAAACCTTCTTTCCTTGGCTTCATTAAAAATAAACTTTTATTTTCAAGTTTCCTGATCATGCATGTTAGCAGGTTTGATGTGGATTGAATTTCAGTATGCATTTTTCTAAAAAATTATCAATATGCATCTTGCAGAACAACTAAAAAGTTTACATATGATATTAATCTGAGCTTAACAAAAATATATATATATATGCTAATCTTTTGAAAATTCAGCAAATTTCATTCCAACAAATATTCCAAGCAAAAAGCTTTGCAAATTTTGCAACTGCAGGTCAAAACATTAACTCAGTAAATATAAAAGTAAAAAGCTGCATTTATTAAAACTAAGAGCAAAATATTCATTTTAAATGGTTAAATAGTATATTTTGTGTATGTGTAAGGGGTGGGGTGAGAAATCCATAAAGAAATGTTCAAGAAACAGCAACTTACATTAACCATACATGAAAAACAAACCATTTCACACATTATTTTATGGGTTTCTGTCACAGCCAATCACCTTGAGGTATTTCAGAGAAAGCATACATACTCTAGACAACAGTTTCTGTAAAAATTAAGACCTCTGGACAAACAATGGGGGGGGGGGGGGTGTCACATAATGTACAACTAGTTGTGGAACAACGAATTAGTTAGAAATACTTAAGCCTGTAATTTATTGGTATTAGACTAGTGGGGAGGGGGGGATTAATTATTATGTTTTAAACATACAACTTTAAATTTTAAACACTAATCATTGAGAATTGAAACTGTCTATCTACCTCTCAATAATATATACCAGCTAAATAACAGTCATAAATATCTGATATCACAAGTCCTAAAAATTCAAATTTAATTTCTTGATACTTATAAAAACACCTGCAAATTGTCAAAGTAAAATTGAAAAATTGATTGCTAATTTATTCCTTTAAAGATTACTGGCTTCCCTCGTGATGTTTCAGGTGTTGGGTAAAATAATTAGCCACCATATTCTGAACAGGTATTTAAACATTTTTGGTAATATATTAAATGAAAGGGTTTTATTAAAAATAACAATAATGTCTAACTGACAGATTTACTTATGCTTCTTGTCAGAGGATATAGGCTGCATATTCATGACGAGAACTGTATCAGTTTGTTTACAAATTTTATCTCAGAACAACAGTGTTTATAAAAGTAGTAATAGTAAAGATTTCCGGTAACTTCATTTACCATCTTCAGGTCTGTTTGTTGAAATAATTGCACTAATAACATGGAGGTACAACTTCAAACATTGGAATGGGGGTTGACTGAGGGCTAGCTTTAACATTTAGGTGTAAACCTGGAGAAAAGATGTGTTGCACCATGAAAAACAATGGATGTACATTTGTAGACAATGGCTCAGAAGGGGTTTACAACAGACGTGTCACATGAAGTTCTCAATCATGGCTGCATCCACACAGCTGAGATTCAAACTTGCAAAATGCTACTGCTGTCTTCTTATCAGATTTATTTTATAGTTACGTTGAAAAAGCCAAAGGTATTATATTTACACAGTTAAACTGTTTTTTCATAGATCCTTACGCAGCAGACCAAAATGATAATTTTTTCTCATCATGAATTTAATACAACTGAGTCTACAAATAGTCTAACAAGGGATAATGGGTATGTTCTAGTTAATATGATAAATAATAGCTACACCTCATGCATACCATCAAATCATGTTGACATTTCATGCTGCATACAGTATGTACCTTGAAGTTACCATATTGTACAATGGATATATTTTCTTTATCTCACATGTGAATAATTTCAAAGAATTACATGTACAGTCATTATCATCATGAATATTTTATAATAAATATAAGCTGTACTGTTTTACCATTATTGAGAAAATTTTGCAATAAATACAGGCTGTACTGTCTTATTTGATATTCACTTCATAAAGCTTGTGAGAGGGAGTTTAACAAATAACGCGGTTTCATCTGGTGTATCGTATCAGATACTTTAAATTTACTTTTAAGCCTCCAGCAAGCATTGTTATGCATACCTACTACAAATAATAGTACCAAGTCAAGTATTGGGTAACAAATTGGGCCTAAATGCAAAGAAACTGCAATTTAAGCTTGTGTAAATTGGGAAATAAAAGTGTCATTTATACTAGTGTACAAAAGGTGGAGAAACTATAACTTCAGTTAGTATGAGCCAGGCAAGAAAACTGTCACTTAAACTAGTATCCATCAGGAATATAAACAGGGAGAGAATTTTCCACTTAAGTTAGTGTATATCGGGTAACAAGAAAGGTCATGGTTCTACACACTGATGTTATTAATAAAAACAATGATAAAGCTCATCATATAAAAGTTTCAGACAGCTCAAATGTTAAATTCAGTAAAATGATAGAAAAAATGTAAAAACGTCAATGCATGAGAATGGAATTTCAGAAATTTATCTCAAAAGTTGCTCTGAATTGATGACTAAAACTAGAGAATAGCATGTGGTGTGCGCATCCTGTTTGTCCAAGATCTTTCTTACTCAACTATTCACTTTAATTATAGAACAGCTGTGTTGTATTACTGGTTTAATATTAGATTCAATAAGAAACGTTAAATGGAAAACATTAAATAAAAAATACACATGTATTGTAAGTACAGCATGATTGTAATTTGACTGAGCATGCTGATAGTTCAATCTATGTTTACACAAAGCTGTATTTATCATATTCTTAAGTGTAGCTATAAAGCAATAAATCTAAATTACTGGGATATTTGAAAAGTATTAGTTTTGTCTTTAAGAATAATGTGTAATTATCTAAAACGAAAAAAGGGTAATTTATATTCATTTTGTTTGTTTGTTTTTTGTCATGTGTTGGTTAAAAGGTTGGTCAAATGGACCGAGCTCATATAGGGTGGATAAAATAACAGATAAAATAAAATGTTTTAACGAAAAAACTTTTGATATTCATTTAAAAGGTTCTAGAGGTTATCCAAATGAAATATGAAACCTTTAGGAGGAAAAAAGTGTATTCTTAATATGAAAACAACCTTATACTCTGACTGACTCAATAGACTTCATATACACAAATACAAATATTTAGCAAAACTACTTAATTAAGAAATCTGATTTTTGTGTACAACAGACTTGTAGTGTTTAATAAAAGTTGCTAAGTTTTTAAAACTACAGTGTGCAAATTCAGAGTTACAGTATATATAGTTCCATGGTTACAAGGTTGGTCAAAATGACCAAGCCTGTATACAGAGAGTTAGATTAGTTAATTCTGCTCCATAACTGTTCACTAATATTTATTATTTAGAAATACAACCAATGCCAACATATATTTTGATCCACTTTCCCATCGTGACACAACAAAGAAAAAAAATTAAAGTAAATTATTTTAATGCTCATTTTGTTTTGTTCCTGGTCATATTTTCAACAAAAGAAAATTTGACCCATAAGTAACATTTCTCTTTCATTCTGTTGAGCAAATCAGATTCACTAATTTCAAGCTTAAGTTACCATATAAGTAACTATTTAATTACAAAATGAAACATGTTGATCAAGCCAAAGTAAAATAAAAACTTTATATCACAGTTGACAGTTTGTGAGAAGTTCAATATTATTTCTGAGAACAAAAGAATATACTCTATTCCCCAACACAACTTTTTCTCTGAATTCACAAGGATTGGTTCTGTTCTGAATGATACAAATAATGAAAAATTACTAACACATTTTACTGCTTTTATTATGGTATGCAACACTTTATGCTGACAAAGTACAATTTATAACTAAGTGGTTTGTGTGACACTACATCATAAAAAAACTGATAAATATTTATAACAATTTTTTGTTTACTGGATCTATTTGAGTTTCCAGTAATTTGAGTCTAAAAGCATCACAACCACACCCTTTAATTTGTTAAAAATTATTATTATTATTATTGTGATGTAGTGTCGCAAAATTCACTGATTTATAGATAATGCTTCACATAAAACATTATATACCATTATAATTTATGTCTTACAAGTAACTGATATATAGTATTTCAGCCAAGGCTTTGAGTGTTGCATGGCAAACTGACTTGACGAGCTCTCACACTGAGCAGAAGGCCTTGATGACAGTGAAATGTAGCAAACAGGGCATGAGGTCGAGATGCTATTATAATGTCCTTACTAGAAACCCATAATGGACCAATAAAGAAAGATTTGTTAACAATTAACTTGATATCTTTTTCACAGATATAAGTTCTAACTACAGACACATAGTCATGCATATACCACAATAACAACATTCATAATACTTACCCATTTCATCTTCATCACTGCTACTTTCCTGGCTATTACCATTTTGATAATTTTGATCAGAATGTTCTATGTTTCCATTGGTTATCATAGATATAGTCCTTCCATTCTGAACAGTTTCAAGAGCTAGATTTTCTCCCTTGTCCATTTCTACATCATCACATATATTTTCTGGTGTTTCAGTATCTTTGTTACCATTAAGCACATTTCCATTTGACAATGCACTGTTTGTAATGTTCTTCTCCTCCACTGGAGACCTACGATTGTTTTTTTGTGAACTACAGTCAGCATGTGATTGAGTTGGAGATTTGTCACATATCACTTGTGAAATGGGGCTAGTTGACATTGGAGAACTACTAGAGTATTTCAGAATGCTAGTGTGAGCACTTCTTGTAGTTGGAATCAAGTTGTTGGCACTCCTGGCAGGAGAGTTATCTTGTGAAGTAGGGCTTCGAGTGGGACGGACTTCACTGTCTGTGCCATTTACCATTTCTATAAACTGTCGACATTTGAGAAGGAAGAGAAGATTAGGATTTCTTTCCAGAAGTCCTGGGTACAGACTGCGTGTGGTGTCTATTGCTTCTCCAATTCTTCCAGCTAGCACAAGTTTAAGTATCTCTAACCAAACAGAATTTAAAAAATAATTGAAAATGTACCACAAGAGATGTTTTTTTAAATGAAATTTAGCTTTAATAATCATTTTGAAGGAAATTCTGTCAGTGATAAAGAAATGAAGTAATAGGAGCTAAAAGACTAACTAAAATCTGATAATATAAAGTTATTATTCACAAGTTACCACTAGATTTCTGTACCAAGAGCTGCCCTCAAACTATTACTCAACACAGAAAATTAGCACACATATAGCTATACAAAATAACTATCTAGTGTAACACAGTTCTAACATTTTTAAAACTTTGCTTTCTTGTCTTTTCCCAAGAGATTATTATAGTCTTCTGGCTGTACATGTCTTTTCTTTAAGACTTGGCCATTACAATTCATGTATCACTTAACACTTTTAAAACACACAAAAGATAAAATAAAACACTGGATTTGTAATAATGGTAAAAAGTTCACAAAACATTTCCATAAACATATTCAAAACTTTTACTATACGAGTATTTGAATGTAGATTTAAGGATTCTGTTTTTTATACATAAAGATATAGAGAAATTGAATATTTTCACCTTAAAAATAAATAAAAAAAGGCTATTTTCATGAAGTGATTGCAAATATTAAAATTTAGTGAAAAAAAAAGTTAATCAACTAAAAATATTTTTTCAGTAAACATTAACATGTAGCATCAAAATAAGAAACATGGAATTAATAAGCTGAACATATTTATCTTAAAAGTAAACTTCAATTTATTTAAACAATTAAATAAAAAAGTAATGAATAAAGCACTCTGAATAATAAAACACCTATGTGTTTCATTCCCCCTATTCTGTGAAGGTTACTGTTGGTGTTTGTGCATATGAAATCAGTGAGATTAATCTAACAGTATAAATATACAATCAAAAATTCTATACTTGTTACAGCAATATATATGTTTATTTGCTTTAGGTAGTTCCACAAAGCTACACAAGGACTGTATGCATTAACCAACTCCTAATTATGACATGAAAGACTAGAGGAAAAGCAGTAGTTAACAGCACCCACCACCAACTGCATAATGAGATTTGAACATCACTCTTATAACACACCCATGGCCCAAAAGCGTGGAGAACAATTTTGTAGCAATAGGACATTAACAAGTGGGCCATACCTGGTTATATATCTTATAGGGTGCACTTTTATCTATTTACAGAAGTAAATAATTATTGAAATAATGGTCTGAATAATCAAACTTCTATAAGTTCTAGTCTCCCTATTCTGTAAATGGTGCTGGTCTTTGTAAATGTGAAATAAGTCAGTAAGATGTTTATCTAACAATATAAAAAAACAATTACAAGTTTTGATATTTTCTACAGCAATACATAAAATTTAGAGAAAAAACGAGGATAAATAACTGAGAATGCTTTCATTTTCCCTTGGATATAAATGTATAGGAAATAAAAGTCAAAGCTGCACCATGTCCTAAAATACTACAATTAACTCAGTCTGTTAGAAAAAAGAATGAGTAGCACAAGTTCAATACCTTTCTTATTAATAACTAACTAACCTCTCTAAATTTCAACATTTTGCCATGTTCAAGAGGCCTCAAGCTTATAAATATTCAAATATATGCATGACCCCAGGCATTCCAAATTATGTCAGTAGCTCAGTAAAACATGAAGGTTACACATATGAAGTAATTTCAACACCTTTCAAAATATTTTTGTGTTTCATTGAAACTACACATTTAACTTAACTTGCTAATAAAAGAAGCATAATTAAAAAAAAAGGTTGTGATTTTATTATTATTTTTCATAAGGTTGAAAAGTCTCACAAAAACATAGCTGTTTTAGTGTGTTTCATAAGCAATGTCAAACTTTAAGAAATGCCTGTTTTAGTATTTTTCAGGAGTACTGTATAAAGTTGAAAAAACTCAACAAAAGCATGACCTTTTAATATCTTACAGAAGTAAGGTAAGAGGTTGACGAGTTAAAAAAAACAGAAATCTTTACTAGTTCAATGGCAAAATCTAATCTTTTACTTTCTGTTACACATTCTTTTTTTCTTTAATAAGTCTAACCAGTTATTTCTTTTATAATTATTTGTGGATACTTATACAAAACTGAGCAAACCTTTGTGTGTTAATGACAAGTAATTATTATTAGCATATACAGACTGGTTGTAAATTAAGTAAACAGTGTAGAATCTAACACAAAGATATTCAGAATGGTGATCCATTATAACATAAAATCCAGCTATTACAAAGTAGAAGTAAGTGTAAAATACACAATCCTGAGTATGCAAGCTAAATGAACAACAACAACAACAAAAAAAACAACTTTGAACAAAATATTATTGCAAAGACTATGATACTATTTTTGACACTTTTGTATGTCCTCTTTAGTTTAAAGGACTGAAGACTGAAGCAGACACTGAAAATTGTCAAAATTGGTCTCCTAGTCTTTGTACCAATATTTTGTTCCACAATTGTCTGTTTTTTGTTAAAGAATAAGTGTTTTGTAACTTAACATTGGACAGTGCAGTGTTACATGTTTAAATGTATTTTTTTATTGCCTCACTCACCCATTGCTAAAACATTTCCCAACATCATCAAGAAAAATAAAACATTCTTCACAATATATTTTCATTGAAAATCTAATTAATAAAATCATAACAGCTAGAGTTAACTAATAATGTAGAATTCTTTATAGCCTGAGGCCAGGCTTTATGATTGACTAGTACCTAATAGCTACAAATCATTAGCATTTCTAACAAGAAGTTCAAATGAAAAATTATTTCAATCTTTTTGTTCTAGTGATTTATAAATTATACTTTGTTTTAACTTGATAAAAGTAAGCTCAACATAACAACTCAACTTCGTATTAGTTACCTATAAAAACCCTGGATTTTAATTTAACTACAGAATAATGTCAAATGAAAGCAAAATCTTCTCAATATATAATTAAGGTAAATTTCAAAGTATACACAACTACTTTATAATAACTAATGTAATTTTTTGGTAATTTGTTTTCTACGTCAGTTTACCCAGGAAGTAGCATTTCAAGTGAAATAGCTTTTGTAACAATACTAAAAGAAACTTTTTAATGTAGTATCATCTTCATGGTGGAGAAATCAGAAAATGTTAGTTGACTTTGATTTTGTTTTAGGAGAACCAGATAGATTAAACCCTACAGTATCTATCTTATTGTGGACAATTATTTTTTACTTGTGAAAATCCATTTCTTAAAATCTGTAAAGTTACAACACAAAAGAGCAATATATGATTCTTTTACTTTATTTAAGCTTACTCATATTTAACAAGACAATCAAATTTATCTAAAGCCAATCTGCAGTTTATAAAATGTTTGTACGATATTTTTCCATAAGTGGTTTATTGTTCAGCATGATAACTATACTACATGTAACTGAAGTTGCTTGAAAGGTTTATTAACATTATTCTGCAATATAAAGAGCTGATGTCCAAAAACAAATGACCTTCTTATTCCTACACTAGCTGGAATACCCGTATGGATAAATAAAAACTTGTTTCTAACAAAGGATAGGAAATTGTGCTTCTATATACTTTACTTAACATAATAAACATTAAAAGGATTAATGAAATTAGATGGTGATGGGGGGTTCAAACTCCCCCTTATGACATTCCTCAGTCATCCTGTGTAACTGTGTCAAGCTGTACTGATTTTCCAAAATTAAATGAGAGATCCAACCCTCTTCCCCCCTCGTGACTTTCCTCATGTCATCCTGTATTACTGTGCCAAGTTTGGTGCCGATTGATAAAGAAATGTGGAAACATATAAGTTACAAATATACACACACACACATATTGATTATTATTTATACAGAAGATGACTTCATGACTTTCCTCATATTATCCTAATCACTGTGTCAAGTTTGGTGCTGATTGATCAAGAAATGTGGAAATGTACAAGGAACAGATATGAAATGATAGATACATGACAGCAGGTTTTTGTTTCCCCAGACACATACTTTGCTATATATAACAGATTTTATTTCTATAATTATTTTATAGTTTTTATGTTAAAAAAAACAACAACTATAATTTACATAAAAAAATTATTTTTATCTTCTAACAATTTTGAAATTAGTTATAACTTCTGTGTAAGTAGCTATTCATCATGGATAAAAGTGACCAGAAAATGCACATATTTGTAACTAAATAAAATAAATTCAACATTAAGTACGACTAGAAGTATTCTTCAAGAAACAATTTCAACAGTCTCTCAGTGTGTCTATTTTTGGTCAGTATGATATTTCAACTTACTCTGTCTGTTTTTGATAGATTTCACTTCTTCCAGGAAAGCCTGTCCAGTACTTTTGGCAAAAGCTTCAGCTGTAGAACAATACCCATGATGTACCAAATATGTCTGTAAAATTCTGGATAGAAATGAAATAAAAATAAAGTGATCACTGACAAAAATGCACACACACACACACATATATATCATAAAATTAATAACATCCTAATGATACAAGTTATTAATAAAACAAAAGATACAAACCTACTTGACATTCCAATGTACTTTATGAGCATGATAAAAATCAGTATTGTTATAAATCATTCAGTGAAACTAAAGAGTATTGTTAACTCCTTACCAAAAGTAAGATCTTAACATATTACAATGTATATTAAGATCTTCAACAATTAAAAAGTGTTTGATATTAACTGTGATCATACAATTTACATTTAACATGAGTGGTGTTCTCTCAAATAAAACTGGAACAAATAGTGAAGTATTAATCCTGCAATCAGGAGACTCAAAACAGAAATAAAACCTTTATCTGACACTTCAGTGTCACTTTTATATCTAGTTGGTTTCAATATCATTTTAATAGCTAGGTCAGGGATCATTCCTATTATACATATTCAAGAGATTAATTAACTCTGAAATAATTAACATGGTGCATAACAGTAGCCTGACGTAATGACTGAAGTTAGTTTATGACCACTAACATGTTCTAAAGATGTTAAAAAAACAGCTGAATACCCGCATGAAAAATTTTGAAGAATATTCCTAAATACACCCAAATAGATATGTTCTGAATCTAATTATGGAAGGGTAAAATCTGGCAGTTTCATTTGCCACATCAAAAAACTAACAAGAAAAAAAATATGTATCATATCCAAAATCATCAGTAAATATATATTTATAGCATCCTTTTTAATGGTAAAAACTTCTTAATATTAATATATTGAATTAAACATTCATACAAAAATATTAGATCTTTGTCCAAAACCAAATTTTAAAAAAGTGGATGTATGAGTACAGCATAGGCACTAATTTCTAAAAACAAATCTCCATACCAAAAACTTTACTTTTTGTTCAAACTGAACAAGTAAAGGCATTCCAAACATATTCCTCAAAGCAAAACACTCCATAACACAAATTCCTAGAACCAAATATACCAAGAAAATTATACTTGTTCTGCCCAACTTCATATTTTTGTGATATAAGTTATGGTACTTTTCTGCTCTAAGAACATTTTTTTTTCTATACATTTTGCTATGTAGAGTTTTATTCGTTCAATTTGAATTTTTTGTTATTGAAAACATCCTATGACATTGTTGTTTTAACCATGAGTATCATTATCCAAGCTGATCAATACTTTTTTTTACCATTAGGATAAAAAAGAAACTTTATAACCTGTGTAGAGTTGTTTGCCACTCTCCTTGAGTATCATTCGTGGGAAAGCCACGTATCATGGTTTGGGTTCGAACTTGTAATTCCTAAAACCACAAATGTGTGTTATTCATTCATATCAGTGTCATCTATAAATAATGTACAATTTAGGTTCTACATCAAACAGACTAAGTAAGATGATAATCACTAATGTTAAAACACTAGTATAAACTTTTGAAAAACCAGAAACAGAGTACTTAGACAGGCCTTTTACATTAACACACTTAAAACCCACCAACATGAAACATCTGAAAGGCTCAAAGTGACCTTAAATAACACCTCCCCCCAAAAAAACAGGTTTCCCCAAAATTTTCCAAGGTCTATAGAACAGGTAACTTATCACATTTGATGAACTAACAAAAGTTTCATAACATTACAATTCTTTCATTCATTTCATTAAAGGAATTGACATGTGTATTTCTTAGCCAAAACTGTACACAAATAATAGCATTTGCATATTTACTGATTAAATTTTTCAGATTGCAATTTTTATTTTGTTTCTGGAAGTATTCATAAAATGTTGATTACAGGTTTTATATTAGTACTTAATGATTTTGGATTATTTCACAAGCTTTCATTGTTTCACCTGGATATTACTGTTACCACAACAGTACAAATATAAAGTTTAATAATACAACACAATCTTATGCTCCTCTAGCATGACTTTTGTTAAGTACAATAATTCTGTCTTAATTTGTACATTTTATCTCTGAAGACTTGAAGAAAAAATGCTGAAGTGAAATTATTTTTCAAATTTGTTAATTTTTTAAATTTTCATAATGAAACAAAATATTATGTTTATTCATCGAGTTATTTTCTTATATTTTTAGTAGGCATAAAAGTTGTAAGTCTTCTCTTGATCCCAACGCCACCACGTCTAAAAACCTAAAATAATAAATTAGACTAGTTAAACCAAAAGATGCTCTTATTTTATGTTAAGCCAATGCTAAGCACATGCTTAGGTTAAATTGTTTATTTAATATTTTTCTGTCATAAATCTTCTTGTTCACCCACCTTCATCATGTCCTGTATATCATATACAAAAGGATACTGACCAAAGTTAGCATCTATTATTTCCCCTGGAGTTTGTAGGCCTACAGTTGGGTACAATTGGGGCTGTAATAAGAATAAAATTGTTTTTAAAATCTACTACCACCATCTAAGCTGTGCTATTTACCTTAAAAACTTAAGATTGTGGATATATATATATATATATATATATGCAGGTGATGCAGCATGCTATTTCACTTATGTTTTATAATGAAAACAAATAATCTGAATTTGATAAACATAAAAATTTGGTATTACACACATATAGTCATGTAATTTCTTTATGTTTATATTTAACTGTATATACATTTACGAGTAACTTAGAAATGTTTTGCCAGTTAAGCAAGTAAAACTTCATTATCTCTTGCCTTTTTCTCTTTTTTTTTCCTCCCCAGAAGATGGAAATTTTTTATGAAACATCTGATGTAATAAAGATCATCTATAAACATCATAATACAATACAATATATATAACAACCCAAATTAAAAATCATTTTCAGATTTTTATTGAGAAAACTTCTAGCAGGACTTTTATTTATAAACTAGTATAAAAGCCCATAAAATATGACGGGAAACCAAAGCCTACCAAATTTTAATCCTCCAATATGCATTTGAGACTTTGCTGACCATAAACAGATATCAGAAAAGTTGAGGGCCTTATAGCTTTGGGAAAACAAGGCCTATCATGAGCAATATCTCCTTTACCTAAAGAGTTTCTCTTCCCAGCATCGATCCTTGTTCCAGCATTCGATGATCACAGTTATTTTCTAATCATATCAATTGCATTATTGCAATAGTTCTCTTCAAACATTTCTTAGGAACTATTTACGCCTATGTTAGTGATTGAATTCAACTAAAATGGGAATGTGCAATGAAACGAGGAACTATTATAGAGAAAAAGTGGAATTGGACTCGTGTAATTCACAAAATACAGAGAAATTGAGCATGACCGACTGACTAACCAACACTTGGCATTTATGATTTTATAAAAATATGCTCACCACTCATGAACTACAGAATACTTACATGGGTTAAATACAGTTAGAAAAATCTTTTTAAATATTTGTTTGCAAAAATATGTAACCATTTAATTTTGTAACAGCATTTTATTCAGCTCAAGAACAGCCTCTGGTATTCAGAAACCATAATTCACAACATATGCATCATGTCCTTTGTTCTTTAACATAATCACAGAATAAAAAAGGATCAGTAGTTGATGAAAAACAACATCTTTTACAATTATACTTGTCATCAGACATTAGTATTAGGCCTATTACATTTTTTAACCACTACATTCTTTACCTAGACCCTTAGGAATTTTCAAAAATTAGAATAATAGTATTCCAACCACACTATATTTGTCATATTCTTTCAGTCAATCCAGAGCTATTCAGGCCGGGTGGGGTAAAACAAACACAGAAGTGGTCAGAACATTATCTATATAAGCTATATGATACAACAACAATTGTTATGTTACGTAAACTTTTTACAAATTGGCAAATAATGATTACAATCATACTTGTCATAAGATATTAGTATTAGGCATATTACCTTAGGGATCTTCTAGAATTAGACAAATGTGTAACATCTGTTTAGATGTTTCCAAGAAAAGTTCTAAAATAAAACTTATTTACTTATATTGAACTTGTAATAATCATATTTATGGACTTTGATTTTTAACTTTATGCATTTTTAAATTAATCAATGATACTGTCATAGAATCAGAAGAATGCATAACATCTTTTACAGTTTCAGCCATACAAACTGGAGAAGCTGGCATGTTAATCATTGCACATCTCTGGTTCAAAAGTTGTAATAAACCGACTAACAAGATTGAGAGATAGATCTAACATTAGCTTTCATTACATTATTTAGGATTGCATTAAAAAAACCTTCTTGTTTATCTTTACTACATCCTAAAATAAAAATGTGTATTATGGTTATACTAGGAACAAATCTGTTGCTGACACTCAAAAACACGTCCAAATTTACCTTTTATAAGTGGAGCTCAGAAGTGTTTATGCTATAACCCCTGCAGTACATATTTAATATCTGCATCTGTAACTTTTTCATTTTTTTACAATTTGCAATTTTATTCATCATATTAGACAACAATTATACTTACAAATACATTTAATAGTCTAACGTGCCTCTCGCTATTAGTTCATCTATATTAAGTGCAAATTTGAAGTAAAATTAAAGCTACTTATTTGCTAATAGTTAATATCTCATGTTGTGCAACCAATCAACATGACAGAAAACAATGCAAGGCATGGAGAACTTGTAACACTAAAGAGAGAAACAAAACAGTTTTATTAAATATACATCTTAACAAATAAAAAACTTCAATAACTAGTTTCTTGATACAGTGCAGGTTAACAGCCTTCATTAGGTATGGCTGTCAAACTTTTTATTATTATTAAGATGTATGCCTAGAAATTCTTTTGTTATTGTGATTATGATACTGCCACATAACAGCCCCCTAGACTAAAATCAAACAGTCAAATTAATTGTATTTAAAAATTGAAGGAACTAACTATGCAATAAACAGAGATAAGCAAAAATTACTTGCAGGGTCATGTACACTGTCTTAAAAAGACTGATCTTGATAAACTGCTTAACATTTCTGGTACTTTTTACAGGTGAGTAATCCATCAGTACATTTCAATATCTTATTTTATTTACATGAAATTTGCAAGGAACAGTTTATACCAGTGATGAGTAATTATTTCATCATTCTGTGAGTGGTAATGACCTAGATATGCACTGTTTCTGCAGAATTGCAAAACATAAAATTATTTTTCTCTTAATAAGTGGTTAAATTTGTGGGCATTTGACAATCATTGATAGTTTAGGTACAAAAATAAACTTATTAATTGGTAAAATGGACTTATAATGGTAACTTGTTGGAGATGACCTTTAAGCACAATTTCAAGGATCTTCAGATTTACAAAAGTATATTAAAACATTGCCTCCAACAACAAAGCCTTCTAGCAGATGGTCCAATATAAATCTATTCTATCAACTGATCCAATCCATCTGCTAACCATGACTTTTACTGAAATGCTTACAAATTCTCAATTTATATTATATTCAAGGATAATATTCAGTTAAGCTGTGGTACATAGCATTCACAGGAACATGCTGTCATGCTTCACAACATGTAGGTGCAGCAGAGCCAGCACAGTAACAATTTCAACTTCCTTTCTCACACAGATTTTCATCATGAACCCTTGAATCTTTGCTTTGAGGCCAATTTAACTTACCATGAGGGATGCAAGTCACTAAGCTCTGCATACTCAATATAAAATTCAAAACATAGTAAATTAAAATTTGTTAATGTCTTGTTGTTTTCAAGTACCCAGTAAAAGACACAAACATGCATCTTTCTCCTTTTTATAAGAAGAAATTGTATTTTTCCTAATGAGAAGATTAAAAGAACTGTGAAACATTGAAAATGTGTTTATAAGGAAATGGACATATTCATGTATCAGCACAACATTGAGCTCAGCTGGTAGTGAAGGAATTCAAGTACAGGTTGGCATGTGTAGATGTTTCAATTTTTTACTTACCATAATCCTAAATTTTGTGTTATACGGCAAGAAATACACAAGGAAGCTTATAATGTTTTATACAGTATGTGTAGCATGCCATACTTACGGGAAGATCTGTGAAGGCAATGCCAAGATTTACTCCATTTTTGGTATAAAAACAAGTATTGTCAATTAAGTTGACACCACAACCAATCACATCTCCCGTGGTGAATGTAGGTCCATATGGTTGCCCTGTACCACTGGAACAAAAACTGTGACCATCATCTCCATGATAACCATATGAATGCTTGTCCCAGCCTACAGAATAAATTACACACACATTTCAATGACTAAATCAAGCAATATAAAATTCTCCAATAACTAACATGTCCACTAAGACACATTCATTGTCAAACATATATAAGAGTGTAAAAAAACTAAAACTATCATGGATTTTTTTTAACTTGTGTATTCATTGATGGATGATTGTTAATATTTTATTTTATATTTTATCATCAAACAGTGTTTTTATCATCTGGTCCTCTATCACTAAAAGTATGACTTAACAAACCTGGCAACCTGTTCATGTTAACTCCCTGTGCTGACAGCCCAATTCCCATGTACCTGAAACAAACAAAAGGAGTAAACTACAGAAGGAAGTTCTACCTTCCAAAAGCACTTTAATTGTTTTATTTTACTGTGATTTATCTACTCTTTATCTCATGTGTTTCCTTAGCACATACAATAGACAACATACATGGGTAAAATAATTCACTTTGGATATGAACTGTCTTGAGGAAATTGTGGTTGTGGCCTAAACAAAAGCACAGTTCAAACAGTTATGAACACAGGTTTAACATATGAATCAGCCCCTAAGGTGTTTGACATTTAGCTAATCATACACTCTAATGCTACAAGTAACAGAAGCCTTAACTTTGGATGAGAAAAAATAGCTTATCACTCTAGCAGCACACCCTAAATATCAACATAACAACAGAAGATAGTGTTATATAAACTAACTCACATATGTACAACTGTATATGGTGTTTGTTTCAGTTTTTAGATACCTTTCAATGAAAAAACTGTGTGGTATGAACTGAATAATAGTAATTAGCATTAATAAGGTTTCTTAATACAAACAATTAAACACTTTGTCTACAGCAACTCTCCACAGACTGAGATCATCAAGGATTCACTGCTTCCAAAACACTAGGCTTAAACCCAAAATCAGGCCCTTCCAAGTTTCACCCTTGCCAACAAAGAACTACCAAAGAGCCACAACAAATATATAAATAAAACATGAACTGTTCCAATAAAATAAACAAATTATACATACCTAGCACAATGAAGGTACAATAATACCTACTGTTAATTATAAATCATATAACATCAAATAAAGACAAATTTCTCACTAAATGCTAAGTAAATATTGTATTTTGTTGGGAATCACCAATAAGTTGAATTAAATAATACCACAAAAGCTAGCTTTAAAATAATAATGAGCTATTTTCTACAGATTTTTACATTCAGATGTTACTTTAAGTTATCCTCTACACATTTATACAGCCATCTCCTGGATTAGACAATCATAAAGTACCCTTTCCAAATTTGTATAGTCATCTATTAGTTTGGATGATGGATAATCCTAAGTTTTCCTCTACACATTTTATATTGTTCTCTCTTTTGTTTTAGATTATCCTAATCTAACCTCCACACATTTTCTACATGGTGATACAACAATCTTTCAAGATTAATAACATTCCAGCCAATACAAATATGACTTGGAAAAATCATAGTAAGGGCAGGAATTACAAATATGGTGGTGCATGACTTTTACATCACTCTGTTTACTGTAATATCTTAATCTTAGTTTTGATAATTCTAATCTATTCTCTACATATTTTAGACAGTCATTTCTTAATTAAGTTAATCCTAAACTATCCTCTCCACATTTCATATATATCCATCTTCTGTTTAGAAAGCCTTAAATATCCACAACATAAATGTTTTTTAAATTTGTTTCTCATATTTTCCAAAACCTACGCAATATGTATGTTACTCTTTAAATGGAATTCTCATAAATTTTCTTCTAAACCAGTAAACCTCAAATACATTTTACTTCTCTGTAGTTTTTTAGATAACCTTAAACCACAGAAAGATAAATATTTAACCTACCCATCTCTTCCTTTACTAACAATTTTAACTTCAAAATAGTAAAGTCCACATGCAGCTGGTATTGGGTGGCTGGCTCGGACACTAGCTGCATCTTTGTGATTCTTTCCAATACCTTAAAAAAATTACATATTTGTTAAACATAACAGTTTAATTTAATAATCAAATAAAAACTTTTTAATAAACTTCAGTTTTCAGGAACAATATTTTTGAAATCCAAATCTCTGGCCTGTAAATGCACTTCTATGTAACATGACATTATGCACCAAGGCTAGTAATCTTTTGTTCAGCAGATGGACAAATAAACTTGTTGGATAAAGTGTTCCAAGCACCAACTACCAGTAAAACAGTAATTTTGGATTTGATTAATTCTCCTTTTGACTATAGATTCACTAGGTGTATAGAAAAAAACTTGTTAGATGACCATAAAGACAGAAAATCTTCTTTGTTCCAACTAATAGTGAAAATGGTACACGTCATTCAAATATTCAGACAATTAAGAAGAACGTTCCTCTTAAGTTACAAGTAGTACTGACTACTGACTATGTTATGATTACTGATACAAGTTTTTAGAAAGATTTACAGCTTGGAATGTTATAACACAGTTTCTGCACACCACAGTTACATAAGACTGTATGAAGTTAACCTACTTCTATAGCATTTCATTCTAACAAAGTACATAAAGCTTATCTAAACAGGAAATAGAAAACTGGAAATCTTTACACATTAAAATATAGTTGGAAAAAAACAATATACAGCTTAAACCTTCAAAACTTTTATGAAATAAATTCACTGTGCACTTGTGTAACAAAAGCAATTTACAGTGAGTACAGTAGAATTGTCTTAAAACAATAGTCACTAAATGCAACTATGTGTTGAAATTACTATATACAATGGGAAATTAGTACTTTTTTCATACTGGAAGCTAGAGCTGGGCTTATTGGTGGTATTTGCTGATCAATTAATTGAAAGGACTTATTAATCCATTACATTCAATTATTCAAGTAGTTCACCCCCATCCACCCCAGTGTGCAAATAAACGGGGGGGTGTTTTTAAAGTAATTTTTGAATTACCCTTCATTTCATATGATAGACATATTCTGGAGGTAGCTTATTTCTGCATTTTGCAAAAAGCATTTGTTTCAATAAATAAGTTATTTTGTAACACATTCTGGACATTTCTTACTTGATGAATGAGTCACTAATGTTGATTACAGATGACCATATAGTTGCAAATTTGTTTTTAAAATATAGAATAATCTCCAATTGATCTTGTAAATTCAATAAATTTATAATTAAATAATAAAAAGAGGTTTTACTATTACTGATAAGGGTAATAATGGCTTTATTGAAAACATATCACAATTTAAATTACACATAATTAAATAGCCAGTTATTCTATTTATTTATGTGCATTGTTTGAATAGGATAAGCATAAGAATAATATTCAATAAATATCTGAGTCATCAGGATATTTTGCAATTGCCTAACATAATAACTAAACAGCAAACTTACCTAACTTTATCAGATTTTATGACAATCTGACTTCATTTGGTGAAGATAAAAAAACAACAACCTGTGTTTACAACCATTGCAACTCAAAAAAGACATAGTATATCTATGTAAAAGTAAAAATACTATTTCTAAACAAAGAACCAAACATCAACAAGGTACCTTTACTAAGTCATAAGCAATCTCCACTCATGTAACTTCTTTGTTTCATACTGTATATATACATTCCTGTGTCTAGTTATTTGTGTGATGCTGTAACTAAATTTTCAGTATTTTTTGTATGAAAGAGACTTCCTCTATAATAATAATAATAAAGTATTTTGGACTGATCAATGTCAACCATATAGTCATAAAGTAACCTACATAGGTCAAAGTTAATGTTAATATATTCTATAAATGATTATCACAGTTTGGTAATAATCCATCAATTTCAAAGCTTATATCTTTATTTCTGGTAATGTTATTGATATAAAAAAGTTAAAAACGTTTATTATATTATTGATGTCTGAAATAGTGAAACTGCAAGTAGTATGGCTGTACAAGTAAGGACCTTTAAAAATAATTAAAACAGGCATCTTGTTTAGGAACAAATGCTATAATTTTCTTGTGAACGTGATTATAAGTAATTATAATTATTTAATTCTAATTAACATAATTGAAATGTTTGTCTTTCTCATGAGAATACTAACTTCTAATCACTGAAAAATTCATTCTATAACAAGTCTATATTATAAAGATCCAAAGTATTCTAAACAATACTAAATAGTGAAAACAAATCCCTAAAGTCTAGATACATTGTTGCTCATATTGTTGTTTTGGCTGAAAAATAATCAGTTACTAGCTGAGGTCTTAACTGGATTGCTATAGACCCTAGTTCAGGGTTCTAGTTAACCCAAACTCCTGGGTCCCATACACATGATAATTTATCATGATGCATAAGATTTGACCCTTTGGGTAATGAATATGTATCACAATATGCCTCATATGCAAGGCAAGCACAAGTACTTTGCTTTGAGCTTTGTACCATAATAAACTAAACAGCATACAGTTTGCACACAGCTGTTCACAATCAACTTCTAACAGGTCTCACCAATGACATAAAATTGCCCAAAAATAAAGCCATGTGAAAGTACCACATGATTAACCCTTTCACCTTAGGTAGGTCAAAGTGCACATGTCACAACCTACTTTATTATCAATATGTATGAATAAATTCAGCATCAGAATATAGATAATAAATCAAAAGTTTAGTATGATTTACATTTTAAGTTCTTAATTTTATAAGAAAATATTTTAAAAAATTCTCAATCTCCCCTAGTATGAGAACTCTGCTGTTTGTTATCTATGTCTTCCCTCTTCTCTAATTTTTTGCCACTCCTCTAAGAAGTACGATATGTAATGTAAATTGCTTATTATAATGTTTTCATCACTCAGGCAAAGCATAATTTACATAGCTTTCAATCTAATTTAGTTACAGAGTAATAAAATAGAAAATCAGACCCCTCTTGCCACACCCATCTGTCACAATCTTTTTCAGAACTTGCCAATAGTTCTCTCTGTCATTTAAGACTATATTATTTAAAACCAATAGAAAGCCAAAGTGTTTCTCTATCAAATAATGTATTATATTACGTAGTTGTCCGTACAGAGAATTGTCTATTTTCCTTCCAGTTCAAACTTTATTCCCACAGGAAACACATCAACAAGTTTAGCTGAATTTTTAACAGCATTTGTCAGTTAGAAAGCCAGAAAAAATGGTGATAGTTATGGAACATTGTTTCCTTTTTGTATGTTATTATTCTGTGTTCCTTGGTGCATTAGTTAATGCAGTAGTATGAATAGCATAAACAAGAGGGAATCCTCAACAGCTGTGGCACTTGAAAATCTTTTAGGCAGGATTAGTGTAAATTAATCCTTTTTTTTTGCATTTTTGTTAGCTATATTTTTGTACACCAGCAATACCAAGCACATGGGTTAACATATACCAATTTGATTTTATTACTTATCACGATCTCTTACAGCCTACCTTCAAATTGAAATTCTTTTATGCAGAATTAGAGTAAATTAATCTATGAGACCTTGGGTGTGGTCTAAAACTGTAATTAGATCTCAAATTGGTCAAGAGATGATGAAGTTATGAGCTAAAAGTGTTTACTTGAAAAAAACAAAAAAAAAACAACAACTCAAGAGTCATTCTATTAGCTGCTATGCCACACCTCAAAAATAGGGTTAAGTTTCATCAATAATCGAGAGCAAAATAATAATAAAAAACACCCAGGTAAGTACTTTATTGCTTGCTTTTCGTGTGTGTTCTTTATTTATTATTATAAAAATAACTAAATTGTAAAACTTTTTAGGTTAGCTACAGTCAAATAAATAATATTAATAATACTTTTTTTTTAATGAAGTATGCTCATGAATAGTCCGTGCATTATGTAATTAAATACCATAATGTGAGCTGCATGTTTGCCACATGATTTGCAATTTATATGGCACAAATAGTAGATAGACACAGTTCAAAGAGCAATAAAAAAATAAAATTTAAGTATACATAGATGTATAATGTTACAAGCTCTAAGCTACTTACAATAAACAGTTGTGGTTTTCTGTTACAATTTGCAGTCATTCCAGAAAGAAAACAGAGGAAATTTATAATTATTTCCTAATTGTTTTATGGTGGTTACGAGGTCAGTCAAATGAACCGACTTCATATAAAGTTTTTTTGGAAAAAACAAACATTTGATATAAATTTAGGAGGTTTTAGAGGTTATGCAAATGATATTTGAAAAGTTTTAAATGAAGAAAAGTATTTTTTAATCTCATCATGAAAATTACTTTGCAGAGTAAATTGTAAATAAAGTTTTTCATTGAATATTAACATGCTCTTTTCCACTTGCAGTAGCTAAACATGTAGTGTACATTGTAAACAAGTTTCTTCATTGACATTGAAGTGCTTTTGTTCCTTTTTTTGAGTTTATTGAATTATACCTATGGAACCCTTGAAAATATCACTGGGACTCTTGAAAACAAAAAGTTGAAAGTCCAGGACCCCTCACTGTGGAACCCTTGTGAGAACTTTGCTTTAGTTATGTTGATTTTAGAAACCTCAAAAAATCTTTTATGGTGATTAATAGCCTAATAAGTTAAAAACACTCACATCTAATGTTTCTTTTTGATACTACATTGTAGTGTAAAGACATCTGGCTGTTGATTTTGATTAGTTTCTGAGAAAAAAAAAAAATGGACGGATCCAAACCCCCTTGATCTATGCTTGCTTATATAACATTAGAAAATAACATGATGTGAATAAACAGTAAATTTACACTTTATTTAACACTTAAGTAGGCACAGAGTTGGCAGTGGGTGTTGCCAACCAGTTGTCTTCCCTCTAGTAAGCAGTTCAAAATTAGACAGTGGAAGATAACCTTAGTAGCTAACCTTAGAATCATGAGTCCCAACCACCACCATGAAGCCATGCTTGGCCAAAGCTGTACAAACTAGAATTAATAAAAAACAACAACAACTTGTAATGATGTGACTGGGTTTTCATAACCCCAGTGGCACAAGCACAGATAGCCAATTTTGTAGCTTTGTGCTGAACAT